GAATTCTCCAGAGGTCAAGCAAGGCAGATCAAATGATGGATTCATCTGACTGAAGGCTGCTGCATTTCATACTCTCTAAAAGTTTGACACTATTAACAGTGTTCAGCAGGCGGTGTAATGCTGAAGATGTTAATTGGCAGCAAGTAGTTTTACATCCAACCACTTCAGAAATGACAGACATGAGGTTCTTTTTTTATTAGTTACACCATGAATGCTCTGTATTATGGGATGCATGGGTACACAACAAGAAGAGACTACATACAAACTGCAGTGTTTTATGTAGTTTCAGACATTTTACTTGTAAATGTTCCCGACTATTTAACAGCCATTTATATCATGTTTAGATGTTTAGATTGCAGCCAACATCTCTTCAGTTTGATCAGTATTTGACTTTCATTAGAAATGCGTCTTCCCCTTAGTAACATCTGTTTCTTTACAGCACTTTGTTTGTGCCAAATGTGAGAAACCTTTCCTTGGTCACCGCCATTATGAGAGAAAAGGTTTGGCTTACTGTGAGACGCATTACAATCAGGTAAGAAGCTAAAACTTGGCTTTGAATGACACGGCCAACATCACAACGCAGGAAGACAATGAAGGAATTTGTTTGCTTTCTCTCCTTGTTTCTCTGCTGTCAAGCTCTTTGGGGACGTGTGTTATCACTGCAACCGTGTGATTGAAGGCGATGGTGAGCATCAGTGTGATAAAACACATAATTAGGATCTTCTGTGGTTCAATAATTAAAAAAAGTTCTGTGGTTCAGTAATGAACAAAGTGTTGCTTTCAGTGACAGCAGCTGAATCTTCTGTTTTTATTTCTTTCTTCTGCACCCCCTCAGTTGTGTCTGCTCTCAACAAAGCCTGGTGTGTCAGTTGTTTCTCCTGCTCCACCTGCAACACCAAGCTCACTCTCAAGTAAGTCTTAATATGTTCATTGATGCAAACCATAAAATCTAGTCACATGCAACTCTTCCACCTCATGTTTGTTGTGCCTCTTACTTTTCTTTAACACATCTCATGTGCCTTAAAAACAAGAAGAGCTTTAATGGGAATGGCTTCTACATTACAACTTGCATCTTCACTCAGAATAGTTGTAATTAACTGCTGAATACAGAATCCTTTGAGCCTTAATGTCTCTATTATTAAATTGATTAATTGTAATTTTTAGAAAGATCTTGAAGTCTTCAAAGTGTTGCATAAAATTAGTATCATTAATGAATATAAGAAATCAGATTGTGAAATTAACAGTGGTAATTCATGCCCCTGACATGGGTTTTGTCTTATATTTCAAAATCTAATAATGTATGCTGTCTGAATGTGCTTATGTATCGTAAATGGCTAGATTTGTGCAATATTTCTGTATTAATTAACATAACATTCAAAGGTGCACAACTAAAAGGAAGGCAAATAGAACTGTTCTCTAGTTAATATTTTAACTTGTTTGATGAAAATGTCACCAACAAACCCTCAGGTTGCTTTGATTATTTTTAAAGTTGAGTGTGTTTTGAAAAGACAGCCACACAAAATAAGGTTTCTAATTTTACTATTGGAACACTTTATTTACATTTCATTTGACTTGGCATTTAGGATGGAATGAAAACATACAGTTTATTACATCTTATGGTCTGCTTCACCAAAGAGCAATAAAGTATTCTGAACATATATTGTTGAATTTAAGTTTACAGGAATTAATAATTATGAGCTTATGGGGAATTGTGGGGAATCTTTTTTCCCCACTGCATAACTTCAGTGCTCTGTGGTGTTAAGTTTTTTAGAGGTCATAATGTGACAGTTTTACTTACAACTGAACTCTTATGAATTAATGTTAGTGTTTTTTTTTTATTAAATGGTTATGAACAATAATTACATTAAAAGCAACATGCATATGCTAAACACTATCAGTAGAAGTCAAATGACTCACTAACACGCTTGAGTTGTAGTTCAGCTGTGAATTAATATATTTATACAGTGGGTGAAAAATGTTGCACTCTCGGACTTGACTCCATATCCTGGAAGCCAGAACCAACAGCTGAGGTGTAATGAAAACATATTTCAACACTTGATCAACACATCTGCTTATCAAAGCCATACAAACATGGAAAGGGGTTAAAAAAAAAGATTCAGAACACTCAGTGTACCTTAGCACACAAAATGTATTTGAATATTTGACAAAAGGCAGCTGTTAACACAGGCTGGTGGTAGATGAGTAATTATTTCTTCGCTACACACTGGAGGAACTTGGACAGGTGTGTTTTGGCAGGTAAGGGTAGCATGTTCTCGTGCTGTGGCTGGAGGGTGACAGGAAACTCAAGAAGTGAAGTTTGAAAGTTGTCCATTCACCGAATGTCATACCCAGAATGGCTTTCAGATCTTCTGTGTCACCAAAGACCAGAGCAGAGCCATTGAGTTTATGTTTTTTCACTGTTTCCCTGTACCTACTGTCCAATTTCATTCTCTCCATCTGAAAAAAAAGAATATAAAATACAATGGGGATATGTTAGGTCAATGAGTAAGACTGAGAAATGTTCTAAAATACTTTTATCACAAAATGCATAAAGGAATGTGCACAACTATCACAGCAAAAACATAACGTGATGGAAAAATGTCCAACAAGATCTCATTCTGACTGTCATTACAGATTTAAATATGAAAGTTTTAAAAAAATGAGCTATAAAGATCTAGACAGATCTTTAAAGAACGATGTAGAACAAAACTACCCAATGGAAATAAATTAATTATAGCAAGATATGCTATAAGTGCACAAGTCAGACAAACTAACTGTCCAAACTCCTCACCTCTTCACATATGTCGTCTGTGGTCATTTTGATAAGACTTG